GGATTACCAAGGCAGAGTGAAGAGAGGCCTTTAATTAATTTCACGAGCCTGCTGAAGAAGCAATCGCTACGAAATTGCGGCTGCCTTTGGCCACGCCAGGCTGCAGCTGGCTCCAGAGTCTGTCCTGGGCAGGGAGGGAGCCCTTTCCTGAGGTGGGGGCCTGGGCCACGTGCAGGATGGCGGGCGGGGGCACAGGGACAAGGCCAGAACTGAGCTGGGCTCTCAGCACCCTCTGGCTTCGTGTCTGCTCTGGGGCAGAGAGGAAGGGCAGAGGAGGACCGGATCTGAGCTCTGGAAGGTTGAGGTCAAGTTCAGACCCACAGCTAAGCCTCCTGCCCTTAGCCCAAAAGCCAAGAGACACTCCCACTCCCAAACTGCACACACTTGGCTCTGAGCCAGGGCAGATGGGGGTAGGTGGGCTTTGGAGAAGAGCCCAAGTTCATTCCTTCTGTGATGGAGCACAGGAGCCCCTACGATCCAGTCCTGGGAGCAAGCCTCCTGCCCGGGCCTCTTGAGCTCTGGATCTGCCCGCCCCCTGCTCTCTCCTCGTGTGTCCATGTTCCTGGGAGGTCAGGCTGATAACACATTCCACTTAAACCCCACAGGCCCCCAGCTGCTGCAGTACGTGCTCTGTGGGGATTCACTCTCATTCAGCCCCCTCCATGGTCCAACTCGGTACCATTTTACGGATGTGAAGCCCGAGACCCTGGTGGTTAAGCAGTTTGGCAGAGTCTGTCAAGCACATCTCTTCTCTCTGTGGCCTGTGGTGCCTCTCACAGCTTCGCCCCCAGCTTCCCCCAGTCCCCAGGAGTCCTCACGAGAGTCCTGGTGTGGGGTGATGACAACCCAGAGGGGAGCCTCCTGGCTTGGGGTGGTCACTGTCAGCGTTTGGGGTGTCAGCGTTTCCTGGCTCCCTCCAGAGCTGCGTTGTCTCCTACCCACACCAGATCGCACTGCAGCACGTGGCTACCCCGCTGAACAGCAAAATGCAGATGGAGGACTGGCCTTCTGTCTCCTGGACCCCACCCCACCCTCCTGTCTCTATGTGGCACATATGCCGCTCACCTGCACCCTCAATACCAGGCCCGGAAACACAGATATCCCTTTACCAGGAGCCCATTCCTTCATGTGTCCCCTTTGCAAACCTCTGAGGGCCATTTAGAGGGCCCTGAGCTACCTGTACAGAGTCAAGGGCCCACATATGCCTCCCGGAGCTCCAAGCAGACAGGTGACAGTCCTACACCACAAGTACACGGAGGCTGGGGGATTCCAGAGAAGGGCTCGGAAGCCGGCTTGGCCTCCTGTGGCCGCTGGCGTCAATTGATTTAATGCGGAGCTAAGGAGCTGCTGTTTCCTGAACGAAACCTGAAATTGCACAGACTCTGCAGCTGTCCCCAAGAGGCACTTCACTCCAACACTCCCGAGGTACAAGAGGAGGCAGCCCTGGGATCACAGGAGGGCGCTGGAGTTGACAACTGTGCCTTCGATCCAGCGTCCCCCCAAGGGGAGGTAGGAACACAGGAGAAATCAATGAGCTCGATGACGGTGACAACAGCCACTTGTAGGAGAACAGCTTTCCCCTGCACCCCAGCCCACCTCCCTCCGACACACAGTGGGTCCAATGTCATGGATGTCCTGGGAGCCTCTCTCCTCTGGAGGAAACGAATTGATTTCAAGTTCCATTCCACTGGGTCTCATGATTCTTTCTTACTGCCTGCCGTGACGACCTGGGAGGCGTCGGCGCCCAGCTGCTGTGGCCCAGGAGGCTGTGTCATCCACACAGTAGTCATTCTTCACCAGCTGGACAAATGGCGCCCGGTGTCATCCTCTTGTCTCTCCTGAGACGGGTACGGTCAGTCTCATAACTGCTGGAAAACTCATCTCCCCTCCCTGAGAGGCAAGAAGGGAACAGGAGGCCTCACGGGAACTTCAGAGATGGACCCAGAATCACTGTCACCTCCCTGTGGCATTCCAGGACGAATGGGACGTTTCTGGGAAAACTGCGCCTCAGGATCGTTCCCGGGTGGCAGCTGGCTCAGAACACCATTTATTTCAGGGCAAGGAACCCAGCGACGGCTGCTCACAGGCGGGAGGTCCCCCTCCCAACGCAGACTGGGCAGGGTTCCAGAAAGCCAGGGCGTCGGGCATCTTTTCAAAGACTTGGGTCACTGCGTTCGCTCCTCCCTGCAAAAATACAAGAAGTGAGCGTCTCCCGGCAGCGGACTTCACAGGTTCCGGAAGGCATGGCCTCATTCATTCACTCACTCATTCACTCCCTTACTCCACACACATTTATCAAGTCCCCGCCGTGTGGCAGGCGCTGGGGACAGAGAGATGAATAACACTGGCGGCCCTGTTGTCAAGGAGCTGGCTTGCTGGTAAGGGAGCAAGAAAAACGCAGGCAAATAAAAGAGCCAGAGACCTTCGCGCAGCCCAGAAGGAGGAGCAGGTAGAGAGGAGGGCGGGATGGGAGGACCGGAGCGCAGGGCGCAGTTGGCAAGCACAGGGGGCAGCAGGACTGCAGAGGCTGGTGGGAACTGTTAGCCGCTCCCACTGGAGCCGGGAGTTCAAGGGCAGGGACGGCTGAGGCTTGGTGAGCCGGATCACGAGGGCACCCCTGCCTCACTGCTGAACAGCAGCTCGGAGGCTGAGACAGGAGGATTGCCAAGTTCAAAGCCAGCCTCAGCAAATTAGTGAGGCCCTAAGCAGCTAAGCAAGACCCTGTCTCTAAATAAAATACAAAAGGGCTGGGGATGTGGCTTAGTGTTTAAGTACCCGTGGGTTCGTTCCCCCGGGAGGGAAGGAAGGAAAGAAGGAAGAAAGAAAGGGAGGAAGGGAGGGAGGGAGGGAGGGAGGGGGGAATAACCCTGTCCAATGTATATGTGCCTTTAATATGTGCTTTTAGAAAAATCCCCCCGGCTGCACGGGAGAGGGGCTTTGGAGGGGAAGATTGGACGGCTTGCATGGGAGTCTGATCTATGATGCACACAGTGATTGTTGTGAGGAGAGGAGGAAGGGAGACACCCAAATCTCCAGCACCCAAGGACATACCAGACACGGCCAATGAGAGAGAAAGGGGAGTGAACTTTACGCTTGGGATCCTGGCTTGGGGAGCTGATTTAGGAAGGGTGCCAGCTGTCAGAGAGAAACCTCATAGTAATTTGAGCAGTAAAGGATGTAGTTATTTTGCACGTTGAAAAGTCTAGAGGTTTCTAGACGTGACTTAACAAAAACTCAGTAGTGTCATTAAAGACCTAAGAACTTTCTTTCTGCTTGACCATCCCTAATGTACTAAGGAAAAAAAACCCAAAAACTCATTGTCATAAAATGGTTGCTGCAGATCCAGTCATTTTCATGGCATTCAAGGCTAGAAAAAGGGGGAAGAGATGACCCCGCCATGTCTATTCCTTTCCATCAAAAAACAAATAAACAAAACTGGCTATCTCTAGTTACAGGGAAATTTGAAAAGTCAGTTTTTAATTTTGTATCTTTTCTGGAACCTCTGGTGGAGGTAAGTAAGGAAGAAAGGGGTTTGGGCATGGGAAAGAGTCAGCAGGGTCACCGGCAGAATGGAAAATTCAGAGGAAAAGTCAGCAATAGCCCGCTGCCCCGGGGTGGGTGGGATGTAGGAGCAAAAGCAGTTCCCCTACTATGTGGCCGATTCCCTGGATTCAATTCTCTCTGTCTACAGACTCAGAAGGGTTTGCTTTCCTGGTTGGAGCTTTGTGGACCCATCTGTCTTTGAAGAGGCTCAGGGGCTATAAGGGAGTTGGTTTTCTGAAATAATGGTCATAGGAGCCTCAAGAAACAGAGATGGGGGAGAGAGGGCAGCAACTGGGTGCTGTGTAGGAGGAGAAGCTGATGGAAGGCAGAGGGGGAAAGAGGAAGGAGAGCTCAGTGGTGTCCTGAGGTTGGCCTGGTCTAGAGGGAGCCATGGCTGGAGGGCAGGGAGATACTGGATGCAGGGGACCTGCTACAGCCACTGCTAGCACAGAGTGAATCTGAGATGTCATGTGCATCCATTGTGCTCCATGACAGAGTGAGCCGCAAGGCAGTCCCCCCTCGGTCACATTCTCTGCTGGTTGCTTCCAGATCTATTAGGACTTGACTCCCTGTGGGACGACGGAAGGCTCTGCTGCAGCTCCCACTGGCGGGGGTTGGGGGGTGGGGGGGTGGGAGTGTCAGTTTATCCATCAGGAGATGCCCAGTTATGCTGCAGTAACAAGCAACTCTCAAATTCATTGGTTAAATGCCACGAAAAGTCCACTTCTCACTCATACTGCAAGTCCACCTGGGGCTTTGCATCTCTCAGCCGCCCAGGAACCTCTGGGGTCACAGGTGTCCCTGAGTGCTGCAGCAGTGGGGAGGAAACACGGTAGGCTGTGTGCTAGCTCTGAAAGCTTGCACCTGGATCACGATGTCCCTTCTGCTGCATTGGCCGAGTCAAAGCACACATTCACCCCTAACTTCATGACCCAGAAAATGAGAAATGAAATCTGTGAACAGACCTAATGAATACATCCCAACCGCAGTGGTCTGGGGCTGCTGGCCAACTGTGCTGCTGACTGCGGCTTGTAGAGGAAAAGTTAATCACCTGCTGGTAATGATCAGAGCCACCAACCTTGTGTGTTATGTTTGGGATCTGGGGTGTGCCCCGAAAGTTCTCCTTGATACAGGGGTATTCAGAGGTGATTGGATTGTGAGAGCTGTAGCCTATTGTTCCATCCTAGTTTGAATGGACTGACTGGGAAGTTGGCAAATGAGACCTGGCTGGGGGAGGCGGGTCACGGGTGGCATGCCCTGGAAGGGTGCATCTTCCCTGTGACCCCTCCCCTTTCTCTCTCTCTGCTTCCTGACCCTGTCATGAGCTGAGCTGCTTTCTTCTTCTGTGCCGTCCCCCCAGGCGGTGTCGCCTCACCTTGGGCCCAGCACAATGGAGTCAGCTGTCTATGGACTGAGACCTCTGAAACCGCAAGCCCCCCCCACACACACACACTTTTCCTCCTTTAAGTCGCTGTTGTTGGGTCACAGCGACGACGAGGCTTACTAAAATGTTCTGCTAGTAGGTTTACCTACATTCACTGTGACATCAGCTCCTCCAGGGCAGGCGTCCCTGGGTGGTGATGACCTGTGTGGCTCTAGCACCTGGAACTAGGACCAACGTCCTTGGCAAATATTTGTGGAATAAAGAATTAATCCTCGAGCCTCACCACGATCTTAGTGAAGCAGGGATTGGAACTGTCTCTTACAAACGAGAAAACTCAGAAAAGTTGAGTAAAGCGGCCCAGAGCCGCACACCTCCTTCAGACTCAGAGCTCAGCCCTGGACGGGGCCCCTGCAGTCCTGGCTCAGGGCTCTTCTCCGCCCCTTTGGCCTGTGCCTTTCCCGTTTGGCTGGTGCCTTGTCGCCTTGGCAGACAGGAGCGCGGCTCTCCCCACACTTGCTCTGCATTTTCCCTCTGGCCATGGGATAGCCCCACCATTCCTCGGCCCGACCGGTGGTGGGTGACCTGATCCCTCAAATCCCTGCTCCTTCTTTGAGGCGTGTGGCGGGTGCATCAGAGCGTCTGTGACAAACTGGGGCAGAGAGGACTGACCTCTGTGTGCACAGGGTCACTCGCCCATAGCTTCTGTGGACGTCTCATCTGCAGGGGGATCACCTGACCCTCCCCATGCGGTTGGCACCTATCAGACCTGCCCTGTGCCGGACCCTGTGCTCGCTGCTGGCTTGGACCCTCGAGGAACGTGCAGCCGAGCGGAATCCTTCAGGACAGAGAATTTGGGGAGATGAGGGAAAATCAGCAAGCGTGGACAGTGATGACGGGAAAAGAGGCCACCTCAAAGCTCTGGACCCGTCGGGGTGCTGTTCCAGCCGTTCTTCCTCGTCGGCAGGTTCCCAGCCCGTGTGTCTGGACCCAGCCATCCCACCTGGGGGGCTGGTTTCTGCTGATCTGGCCCCGGTGACATTGGCTCCACGTTTGCAGCCATAGCACCAGTGTCCCCTTGGAGGACCTGCTGTCCCCCGTCCACATGTGAAAGGACTCTGGATCCAGGTGCCCTTCCTTCCTGCCACTGTCCAAGAAGTGGGGGCTCCAGAGGACAACACAAGTCCCTCCCAGTGCCGATTCCCTGGGGAAGGCGTTCAGTGGTGTCCACTGCCTGGTCTCAGCCTGGTCTGTCCCTGTCTTCCCCAGGTGGGTGAGCGCCTCTCCCTATCTGCTTCCTAAATCTCCACGTAGCTTCGTGAGCCTGCTCCGTGGGTCCCCGATGTCCTAACTGATGTCTGAAGGGCTCTGACCCCAGAGCTGGGGGGCAACTTAGAAGCCATTTGATCTGACCTTTTTATCCTCTAGATGAACAAATCGAGGCCCAGGAATCAGTTGGAGCCTGGAGAATAGACAATGGCAAGTGTTCCTGGGCCAGCTGCTTTCTAAGCACTGTGGCCACCTGGCGACCCCCTGCTGGGGGCCCAGGCCCTACGATTCAGAGTGACTCATGCAGATTCCAGGGCCAGGGCTGGCCTCCCGGCCCAGGCCATCTGGTTTTGGAGCCTGAGCCATCTCCCAGTGGCTCCTTTTCCTCCAGTGGCTTGCCAGGTGCTGTGGTTCAGATGTGAGGTCACCGCGGAAGCCCTCGTGTGAGACAGTGCAATAATATGAGATTAGGAGAGTTGTGATTCCCATCAATGGCTCAATCCGCTGATATGGATTAATTAGGTGATAGCTGTGGGCAGGAGAAGGAGGTCCCTGGGGGTGTGCTGTTGGTGTCCTAGTTTGCTCCTGGTAAGGGAGGATCTCTCTCTGCTTCCTGGCTGCTGTGTCCTGAGAGGCTTTCCTCTGCCACACCCTCCCTCCATCACGTCCTGCCTCACCTGGGGCCCAGAGCTGTGGAGTCAGCCAGCCCTGCACTGGCTGAACCTCCGAAATCGTGAGCCCAGATCAACTTTTCCTCCTCGATGTCCTTCGTATCAGACGTGTTTTGGTCCCGGTGATGCAAAAGTTGACTGAAAACACCAGGGGCAAATCTAGGCGAGGACATTGGAACCCAGGGCCCGTGAGTCCTGCATAGGGACTGTCTGGACAGAGCTCGTCACCGACTCCGTAGTCACCAGGTTGGCCTCAGGCTCCTGTGGTTTGGCCCTCCCATCCTCCCTTCATTCCTGTGCTCTCTGGGTCAGGTGGCATCCCTACTTTCCTGTTTTTGTGGCGCTTGGGATGGATCACAGTGCCTTGTGAGTCCTAGGCAAGTGCTCCAAGACTGAGCCACACCCCAGGCCTCCACGTTTCTCTTTTGAAGCCTGTCCCTATCAGGGACTGCAGGTGTCTAGTGCCCGTCCCTTGGGTCTCCTCTGAACTATGGTCAAGTGATCTCAGCCATGATCAGAGAGGCCTGGCTTGGGAGCTCGGAGGACCGTGCTACAGAGTCCTAACAAAATGGTTAGGGAGGTCTGGCCAAAGCAGTAGTCAGGGTGCCCCCCTCTGGGGCACCTTGCACCTCCATTTTGCTCTCCAACGGACAAGGCCCAGATTAGGAGCGCCTGTGGGTAGGTCTCGCCCAAGACTTCCATGAGTGGAGGTGTATGGGCCACTTGGTCCCAGCCTTGTTCTGGATGAGAGGAGAGTTTCACCCCACCATGGTGGCCCTAGCTCAGTCCTGCCCTCTCCCAGCCCACTGCCCCTTTCTCTCCAGGTCTCCATCTCCACCAGGCCCTCAACCTTGACTCAACCTCCTTACCCCCTAGAAGGAGACCCCTGCCCTCCTTTTCTGCAAACTCAGCTGGGGAGGGGGCTCCCCCAGTTCTCTCCTCCTCTTTGCCCTTTCCAGGAGAGGGATGGACTCTGCTCCATGTGTGGACTCGCATGGGGATTCACGCAACTCAGTGTCACCCGTGTGAGAGCAGAGTCCCCGGTCCCCAGTTGAACCAAGAAGCAAGCACCCCCTACCAGAGCAAGTCCTCTCCTTTCTGAGGCCAGCCTCACAGCCTCGCATGGGGAGAGGACATGCCCTGGTAGCAGGGCTTTGATCTTGCCCCAGTGAGGAACCGAGTCCTACATTTCCCATCAAGGGGCACTGCACTGTCCTCCAAGTGCCATTGCCCATCTGCATGCGGCTTGTTTAGGGCCTTTCGGGACAGGGGAGTAGAATCAGTAACATCCGTGCTGTTTCCTCCTCCACGGGGGAAGCGCTGGCGGGACTTTCTGGTCATTGCTCCACGCAGTCATCACTCTGCTGATATTTAGGGAGGGATGACAGGGTGCGTGATACCGCAATAAGGCGAGCATCACCTTTGTTGGCGCTTAGCGGGGCAGACAGGCATTAAACAGGCCGTGACAGGTAGGCGCGGTGAGCATCCTCATCAACACAGCAGGCAGCTGGGTGGATCTCAGGCCAGAGCAGGCCGCCCGGGGGAGGAATCCTTCCCACCCACATCTGGGGGGTCACTGTGGCGTAGGTCAAGGCAGCGAGGCAGAGGGAACAACCCAGGGAGAGCATCGGTCACCTGAACGACTGAACTAATCAGAATGTCTGAACCCGGAGTTCAAGAGGAAGAGGGGCAAGGACATTTGCAAGTGTCGCTTTGTATCCCCAAGGAGATCGGTTCCAGGAGATGCCACGGATGCCAAAATCCACAGTTGCTAAAATCCCTTACATAAAATGAGGCAGTATTGGCATATAATCTTTGCACATTCTCCCACATATACTCTTTTTTTAAAAAAAAATTTTAAAGAGAGAGAATTTTTTTTTTAATATTTATTTTTTAGACACAACATCTTTGTTGGTATGTGGTGCTGAGGATCGAACCCGGGCCACACGCATGCCAGGCGAGCGTGCTACCGCTTGAGCCACATCCCCAGCCCTCTCCCACATATACTCTTAAGTCATGTCTAGATTACTTCTAATACCTAAGGCAACACCCATGCCATGTCCGCAATGCTATACTACATTGTTTAGGGGATGATGGCAAGAAAAAAGTCTGTATGTTCAGAACAGAACTAATTATCTTTTCCCCAATATTTTCCATCTGAGTTTGGTTGAATCCATCTATTCAGAGCCTGCAGATGCAGAGGACTAACAGTAATTTAACAATTCATTGGCACCTACTGGGTTCTATGTGCTGAGAAAAGAGGAGATGGAGGCTGGCAAGATTGGGGAGGATTTGTAAATCAAGGCGAGAGATTCCAATTTGATGCTGGATCTATTTGTTCCTGTCCTTAAGCAAAAGAGTAAAAAAGTACATTTTCACCCGAGGAGAATCATCCAGGATTGTGTGTGGAGTTGGGGCTGGCAGGGGCAAGGCCAGAGGCAGGGAGGAGAGGATCTATCTGGAGGCTGTTGTCATAACTCAGACAAGACATGGAGATGGTTTGGGTTAAGGTAGTGTCAAGAAAACGGAGAGAAAGTCAGGTGAACTGGCACATGCCTGTAATTTCAGCAACTTGGGAGGCTGAGGCAGGAGGACCGCAAGTTTGAAGCCAGCCTCAGCAACTTGGGGAGACCTTAAGCAGCCTAGAGAGAACCTGTCTCAAAATGAAAAATAAAAAGGGCTGGGAATGAGGCTCAGGGGTTGTGTCCCTGGCTTCAATCTCCAATACCATCCCACACTCACAAAAAAAAAAGAAAAAGAAAAAAAATGGAGAGAAATCAGTGGATTCATGAGGTATTTAGAAAGTGGGATCAATATATGGCAAGGGAAGAGGGAGAAGTTTTTAATAAAATATGTCCTTCTCTTGGCCCACCCTGGCCTTGGGGCTCAGAAACCTCCTGATCAGTTTGGGAGATGCATGAACGACCTTCCCTAACGAAAGGCAGTGGTAATTAAGGACCCAAGGTCCCTAGATTCAGCAGCCCAAGATCCCCAGCCCCCCACTCCTTACTGTTCTCAGGGCTCCTGGCCCCACACAACCCCCAGTGTCCCTCCCAGAATCAGATCCCACAAGATCACAGCTGGCGGCTGAGCCCAATGTCCCTTAGGTATGTCCTTGGTCCTGTGCCTTCCCTGGGAGCAACTCAATAAGCAACAGGATGACTTGTTCATGAAAAACCCGTAGAGACTCCACCTCACACACATTAAGGTGGCTACTATGAAAAAAAATAACACGTTGTGCGGTCCAGCAATTCCACTTCTGAGTGCATATTGAGAACAGAAGGCTGGGACTCAAACAGACACTTTGTTCCCATGTACGTGATGGCCAGAGAGAGAGGCAATGGAGTGTCCTTTGACGGACGGATGGGTAAACAAATGGGTAGCACGAGTACAGTGGAACATGATTGTTCTTAAAAGGCATAAAACCCAGGCCCACACTGCACATGATAACCCTTAAGGACGTGATGTTAGAGGAAATAGGCAAACACGAAGGGTGACCCTGTGTGATTCCACCGACATGACAGAGCTGGAGTGGTCAAGTTCCCAGAGACAGAAAGCAGCAGGGTGGTGCCAGGGGCTACAGAGGGGAAGGGGGACCGGGCTCTGCTGCTTCATGAATACGGGGTTTAGTTTACAAAATGCAGAGAGTTCTGCGACAGATGGTGGTGATGGTTTCAGAGCACTGACTATGATGGTGAATTTCATGATATATGTCTTTTAGCATGATTTTAAAAAATTGGGTTTTTTTTAGTGGTAAATGGACAGAATGCCTTTATTTGTTTATTTTTATGGGATGTTGAGGATCGAACCCAGTGCCTCATACATGCTAGGCAAGTGTTCTGCCACTGAGCTACAGCCCCTACTCTTACCATAACTCTTAAAAATCAAGAGTAGGGGGAGAGAAAGAAAGAACATGGGAGGAAAAAAGTTCAGTCTCTTGGACTTTTTTTTTTTTTTCTCTCAGTGCTGGGGAGGGAACCTAGAGCTATGGCAAGTTCTAGGTTCTGAGTTCTGCTACTGCGTCACTTCCCCAGCCCCAAGCTCCTGGTTGATAATGTGGTACCATGAGGTGAGATGTTCCCATTTGGGGAAGCTGGGTAAAGGGTACATGGACCTCTCTGTACCGTTTTTGCAACTTCTTATAAGTCTGTATTTCAAAATAAAAAGATCAGAAAAACTATAGATGGTGAGAGTGGAAATCTTCCCTGCCTCCCCATCCTACTAACTGTCCCCGGGGTCACAAATAAGTTTCTTATTTGTCCTTCCAGAATTTATTTTTGCATGTACAAAAATGCAAAATAGCTAGACATGATGGCTTTCCTCTGTTTT